AGGTAACAAATCATCATCGACTAGTATTTCAATAATACACTTTTTAGTTAAATTTTTCTCATCGACTTTTTTAACTCTTAGTTCTAAAACTTTGGCAATTTCAAGCAATTCATTTTTGTTATATCTTTCTAGTTGTTCGAGGGAGGGTGATACAAGAAAATCTGACATGATCAAATCTTGTTGGCATTGATAAATATAAACTGAATTATGATTTAAATTTGAATGTACATTGAATTTTATCTCAGATTCAGATCTCAGGCACGAGCCCCCAATTTATCATATTACTTATTACAATTTATCCCAGACGAGTCTCCAATTTATTACATAACATATAATTTCAGATAGCCTAAAACTGAGTTAAATGATAATTTAGACTTAGAAATTAAATAAATGTCAATATGTATCCAATTTATGATACTTGCCGACAAGATTGATACACAGTTTTTTTTAATACAAATAAATTCTAATATACAAACAATAATACAATTTACAATAATGGTTATTACATGTAATTATCTATGTACAAAAGTTTTATAAACTTACAAACAATACTTAGTCCTCTATCTGTTCTGGAACTTCCATGATATCTCATCCAAGGGTTCACGATAAACAAATTAATTTTGAGTTGATGTAGCTATGATTCACTTAATAGGGAGCTAGCTAGCTCTGTGTTTTTCATTGTTTGCCAGTTCGTACATTGAAATATTCAAGGCTGAAGTTGTATAATGTTTTTGTAAAAATACCAACGTCTGATGTGAAACTGCTGAAGTTAAATTGTTTGTAATATTCAAAATCTATAAACATTCCAGGTCAAATATGTGAAGTTCCCGATTAATAAGCATTACAACAATCACGGTTATAGCTTCTAAGGTTTATAGCACACCAATAATATATAGTGTATTTTGGCATGACGTGTTGATTATATTTATAGGCGTGAGAAGAGTTTCTCGAAATTTCAGCTTACGCAACAATATAAATGATACACCAGTGTTTACGTACACACATATATTGTTGATTCTTCCATTCGAGAATTTTCAACAATTTTAGTGAATAGGCAGGAATTTTACAATACAGATTTAACTCATTACTACATATAAATGTAACCTAAATAAACATCTATATTAACTTAGATATAGGATAATAAATCTGTCACAACTGCTGTAAATATGACCATACAGGAGCTCAAAATATACATCTTGGGGTTGTTGTACCTTTGACTTCATAACATCCTTAAAAAGGCCTAAATCATAAAAATGAAAAAGTTATCTCGGTGTATTGGACCAAGGTATGACCCAACTAAGTTTTGTTTGTTTATCGTAGAGCAAAGTCACACTGGGCTATCTGCAGTCCCACAAGGAGAACTCTACCAAGTTTCAAATCAATACACCAAGAAATGAAGGAATGGCAGTTTAAAAGTGGTTGGAAGAAGAAGAAAGGATAGAAAAACAGTAGGTCTTTCTGCAGAAACATAAAATAAAAAACAAACTAACCCTGTCCTTGAAACTCAATTATAATAATTTGTACTAAACCTACATATAAGGTAACTCTGCAATGTAAGTAAAAACATGACATGTGTATTTACATCTATAACTTGGCAGTTTGCGAGTGTGTAATTATATTTATATCTAATCATGTGGTGAATTAATACTTAATAAAATACCTAAAAAAAACCTACAACAGCTTGTAGATCATTATACAAGATTTAGGTTTTAGTTTTTTTTCCTCTTCTCCTTCCCATTGTTTTTTTCCCACCTTTTTTTTCTCTTATTTTCTTTTCATTGCAAAGGATGAAAAAAGCAAGGTGAATGACAGATCAATGGTAATAAAGACTGATTCATGACACGAAAACATGTCACACTACCATTGTTAAAGAGAAACAGATCTTCATCAAAGACAAAATTCTCTATAGACCTTTTTCTCTTATTTGTATCTATGCAACCTAGAGTTCATTGTGTCCATTAAAATCTCACAGGTTGTCAAAAACAGATAAAAGTTGAAATACTAACTTATGAAGAGCAGCTCAATCTATATGTTCTCCTAGTGACGAACTGTCTGAGGAGCATTTTTTTTTATTCATGGATCGTGACCACTTCCTTTTTTAACATTGGTAATATGACATATTTCCATGCATCTACCATTGATCTGTCTTTTGTCTATCGCATGTTCTCCATGGCCATACCACACCAGTGGATGCTGTTGCTCTACATATACTGATTGATTATACTACCACACTTTGTTCTCCATTTTGTTAGATACTCCTAAATGTTCAAAGACTAGTTTTTAAATGCCATTTTGTTTTACCAGTGTACATGACCTTATAGTCACTACATGTATATTTATACAAAAGCCATGAACGTAGAAGTTTAAGTAGTTGATCTTTGTACTGAAATAGCTGTTTAATGCTGAGGCTAGATCTGTATATTATTCTGAGCTGAATTTGATGGCATAAGTTTTTTCATTAGAGCAGAGAATTATTTTTTAATTTGTAGGGATTGTGGACCCATAAAAGGCAGTGAGATAGTGAGGGGAAATTTGGGGACAGTGTGTACAATGGCTGGTGGTTGGAATTTGTTGTTATGAAAATTGTGTGTAATCTTCATTAGAAAACCAGCAAGGTAGCCATTAAATAAAATTAATCAAATGAGACATCAACGTTTTTTTACTTACACAATAATTTATTTGTAAAGTTTAAAAAAAATAAGTTAAAAAACTTTAAAAACTCTACATGTTTCAGTGCAAATAATTCCCCCATCTTCAGAAACATAAACCACAAAGTACACGTTTCCGTTTATCAACGTTATATTCTAAGATCTGTGCAAGAACTCAGCTAAAAAATGTTTCCGCAGATAAAAACTATCTTCAAGTATTGTTAGTACTGATCATAAAATTTCAAAGTACTTATGGTCACAGTTTATTACACTTCTCACATATTTTCTGTAGTTATTTCATTGTTATCAGACAGTTTAGAAACTAACAGAAACAAAATGAATAGTATTGTCTCTCCTTTTCAATGTGGACAAAGAAGTTCCAAAGTAAATCTCCTGAGAGTTTCCAATTTTTTTTTACACCTATTTACTATGTTTATTCTACTGTTAGCAGCTGAATATAAAGCAATGAATCACTGTTCCTGTTTAGGTGTTACCATACTTTGACACCGTAAATATCAAATAAGCTTTTGCAGCACAATTATCAGAACTTTCCCTGCTTTGAAAACACAGTGGGGTAGGATTTATTAACTTGTTGACGGTATAATGGTTACAACAAGAATTGTCTAAAGTATTATAAATTGCTTATGCTATGACTTTGTAGAAAGTCTGGGCTGATCCAATAAACTTGGTAGATATTTGAATGTTGGTCAATAAGCAGACGTTTCCTACAGTGTATTCAAATTCCACTATGAAAACACAGTAGCGTAGGATTTATCAACTTGTTTACACAGTACAGTAGTTGCAACAAGAATACTACATAAAAGGGAGAGAAAATATTTATGATATGGCTCTGTACAAAGCTGCATCCGA